TCTTCTGCATGTCTTGTAGAATTTGGATACATGTTCTTCCTTTGCCAGATCGTTACAAAGGGAGCTAAGTTTCTGTCCAGCCTTTTTCTTATATTTAAGGTGTCTCCATAAATTACCAGGTTTTTAGCTAGATTATAAAAACTTTCATTCTTTCTAGGGGGTAGAACTGAATACTTGAGATGTATCTGTAAGTTGTGTATTACTGTTTAGAAATGTAATTTATATAACTGAAAATGAAACATATCACTTGTGATGTGCCAGTTATAAAAATAAGACTTGCAGGGTTTTTACATGCAAGTGGTTAATGTTTCAAACAGATTTTACAAGACGGTTTTATTGGAGCAAAGTTTAAATCTGTATCAGTTTAAAATGGGGACTCTGGGACTGTAGAGGATGGATACTCCAGGTGCTACAGAACAAAACGAGTAAGGAGTTGCACTGCTTGGCTGAATAGTGACTTTTGAGTAGCAGACACTGAAAACCTTTTTCCATGTTAAAAATAATTCGGATACTGAAATACAGGATATGACGGCTAGATTCTGTAAACTTGACTTCAGACTGCAGTTGTCTGGTATGCTTTTGTCTCTAAAATTGGCAAGGTTCTTCTAGCCTTTAATATGTTCATGGCAGATTTTTATGATGTTTTGTATTTGGTGAACCCCAAGTTGGTACCTAATATGATTGAATATTTAATTCAGTGCATTAAATACTATATTCAAAATTGTTAGATGCATTTAAGTTGTTAAACCTTAAGTGTACGTTGCTTTGACTGTGTCTTGAATGTAGTCCTTGAATTTTTTGGGGGTGGAGTGAAGATTCACTGCCTGGAATGAAGCAGTTGCAAATAATTTTAACTGTTCTGATTACTTCACCAAGACAAAACCCCCAAACCAGCAATTTAATTTTACCTTTGAGAATGCAGGAGCCATTCTGTGAGGACAATTTTGACAATATTGTCAAAATTGAAGTATTTCTTAATTCACAGAACAGTTTGGTGCCATCGTCAACCAGTGCTTGAATGAAGGTGTTCCTGTTGGACCAGATCCTGGTTATAAATCTGATACTGCGTGGTTTCACAACTGAGAAAACAAGAGCTCTGAATGAAGTAGGTAAGTCTTCCTTCTGTGTCTCTGATATCTGCTGTTCTTAAGTTGCTTGATTTGAGACTGAAGATGCGCTCTTTAAGGAGATATACTTGGCATCTTATGAAGGTTTTTCCTATGAATGGTGTATTTATGAGAGAAAGCTACCCTGTCAGCAACCTTACTTACTGGGTTCACAAGTTCTTTTTCCTATAAAAGAGACCAAGGAAATGGAACAGGCTGCAGGTAAAGCAGAACTAAGGGAATAAAGTAAAGCTGTGTGTTAGTTCAACATGGACTTTATTTGAAGGGGATTAAGTACCTCTGCTTCTTGCTCAGTAATGGTAGCCAAAAACTACTATGTGTAAGAGTTGTGCCATTTAATGCAACTGTAAGGGAACAGTAGAACAGAGACAAATTAGCTGTGATGGAATATTGAGGAAAGTAGTTTACAGATGCTGTAACTAATTTTTTAAAAAGAAGGAAAATTATGATTTCTGGAAGAGATACCAGTTAAAATCTGAACTTCAGTAGGAAATTAAGTGCACAAGTGAGAAACCTGAAAAAAAATTGTTTGGGACTTCTGAGGGACAGAAGATGAAAATAATTTAAAAAAAAAAAGCTCTTAAAGATGGCTGCTGTGCTATAGAATACATTTTTATGTTCTTGTTAGAGGAATGCAGTGATGCTCAGTTTTATGCCCCAATAAATAAATTACTAGACCATACGCAGTTGAGGGATAAAACTTTATTTAAAAAAATTCAAATTTCACTAAGTCCTTAGTTGAGGTAAATGAATGTACTAGCTTAAGAAAACAACTCTCAGGATTGGATTTCATAAGCAGTTAACACTCTGTTGCTTGCAAGGCTCCAACAGCTAGAGGTGAAAAATTGTTAAAGGGTCAAGTTCTCTATCTAGCTGAACTCCGCTGTGGAAGAACAGAATTTCAACCTGTTTAATTCAAGCCTCTTCTGATTCTTCGCATACTTTGTTACTCAGGTCTCTTGCCCTGAGACTCTTCACCCCTCCTGGGTTTAAAAGGTGTAGCTCTAAGAGGTGGCTGAACAGTACCTAATTTGCTATTTGGACAGCTAGGCTTATGCTAAGTTAAAAAAACAAACAAACAACCACAACAAAACATCACCAAAAACCCAACCCAACGTTGGCAAGCTGCCCTTGTTCAACATACAGCTAAAGACTGAAGTCGGAAAAAACTATTTCTTCTATTGCTGTCCTCAGCTCTCAAGCGGAGCAGTAGGGGCCTCCTGTGGCCCTTCACAGTCATCTCTGGCTGCTTTGTGTGTATATTCTGAACAAACTGACAGGGCATTACCATCTCTGGAAGTACCTGAATTCAAGGCTTAAGCTTTATTTTCTAATATGCAAGTAAATATCCTGCAGAATCAATAGTCTGACTAGCCCCTCCAAAAGCAGATGAAAAGGCACCTGACCTGTCGGTACCTCAGAAGTGTAGATATTCACAATTTTAGTTTCCATATGGTAAAAGTACTAAGTTACAACTAGCACCTGACACCTGAAGTGTGTAAGTAAAATTACCAGCACTACTAAGTGGAGCAAGATTTAAGTTGGCTGTTAGCTGGAGTGCCAACCTGACCCTCTCTGAACAGGACTGATGCTGTTTGATCATCTACTGAACCTTCTTGGCTATAGGAAAAGAACCACATTTTAAAAGTATTGAATTACCCTGTGAAGAATATTTTCAAAGGAACACTGAAAGTACAGGATAAGCTAGTATTCTCTTATTCCCTAACAGTGAAATAGTTAAGCTTGAAAAACAGAATCCTGCAAGCTTTTTGTTGCTAACACTGCATTATCTTACCCGCAGGTGTCCAGTCTTCCTCACTTCACGTCTTACAGTAAATTCCAACCTAAATACCACGTGCAAGTTCTTTGCATCCATCTGAATCTACTCACAATTTTTTTTTCTTGTAAATGGTGTAAGTATCAACTGCCATTCTCTTCTGAAATTCATGTACCCCTACTGCAGATGCTTGGGGAAGAAAAATGCAGGCAGGTGACTAATGTTTTCGTACTGACAATGTGAGTATGGGGGATATTAATCCAATGTAAATTAAGCTTTTTATGCTAGCATAGAGGGCTAATGTAGCATGTTGACACTGAAGGAAAAAGGGCAGAATGATTGTCTAAGTTTTATAAAAATACTGCTATTCTAACATGCTAAAATACATTTAATTTTAATTGAACTTGAGGTAAGTTTTCTCGTAGGTGTAAGTATCAACTGCCATTCTCCTCTTCTGAAATTCATGTACCCCTACTGCAGATGCTTGGGGAAGAAAAATGCAGGCAGGTGACTAATGTTTTCGTACTGACAATGTGAGTATGGGGGATATTAATCCAATGTAAATTAAGCTTTTTATGCTAGCATAGAGGGCTAATGTAGCATGTTGACACTGAAGGAAAAAGGGCAGAATGATTGTCTAAGTTTTATAAAAATACTGCTATTCTAACATGCTAAAATACATTTAATTTTAATTGAACTTGAGGTAAGAAGGTCCCTTTTAAGGCCCTCAGTTAGCATTACTTTAAAATATTCTTTAAATCCAGTAGTATTGCAATCTTTTGACCAGGAATAGGCTCTCTTTGATAATCTTATTCTAAATCTTAGTTGCTCCTTAGGGGAAAGAATGGTAACAGTGGTAACTTTATGTAACTTCTGAATTCAAAGTCAATTAATTCATAATAATTTCTTATCCCATCCTACTACATGGAGGAGAGCTAAATTACCACCATCTGCTCCATTTTGACTGCCACAGGTTAAATCTGTGCCAGCAGGGTCTGCCTTAAGCCCATACCCAAAGCCCATCTCCATTATCTCCCAAGGTGGATCTCCAGCAGCAGTCCCAGCTTGCTTGGGTGGCCTAGTCCATCCCCAGCACTTGCGCCATAAACCTGCACTATTGCACGTGAACGCAAGGTGTTCCCAGGTAGCTCTCTGGAATTTGCAGGAATCCTGCACATCAGAACAGCACTTCCCTTGTCTCTGTGTTGGACAATAGAAAGAAGGTTGTCTCTTAAGTCTTAGAAGAGCTCTGTGAGGAATCATGGCTGCCATCTGCATGTCATGCCTAAGTACTAAATTGCTAAGACTTGCTCTGACATAGGCTACACGGTAAATGATAACGGTAATACTCTAGGTATCAGTCTAGTTTGAGGCAAGCATCTGTGTTAAGTTGATGTAAGCATCACCATGCAACTACTCTAGAAAATATATTCCAAGTGACAACACAGAAAACAGTTCAAGAAATATCTGGAAATAAGGCACTTAAGTGAGACATTAACAGACTGGCTACATATTTAAACAGACATTATGGCTCAGACATCCTTGCTCTGGAGGAATGAACAGTACCGTGCATGGAAGAAATTGCTGTTGCATGCAGAACCCACTATCCGTTCATAGTATTAAGGCAGCATTGTGTACAAGGAAGCACAGCAGGACTTCACTGCTCTAAATACTTTGCTCTTTTTGAGTGGTATAAATAAAACTTTGGTCCATTACCACCCCTCCACCCCCATAAACATTTACAGGCTTATTTCACAGAACAGCAGCAGTAAGCAAAGTTAATTCCACACAACACGCGTACCCTGAGACTAGAGTACAATGAAATACTGACAAAAATCAAGTCTGGAGGAAAAAAGGGAAAGGTCTTATCGACTGCTTAAATTAATTTGCCTACACAAACGCCTGTTTAACTTTTTCCAGAGTAACAAATCCAATGTTTCACAATTTTTTTTTGAAATGAATCCAGTAGGAAGTACAATATAGTGGAGTTCAAGTACTATAAAGACAGGTTTTTGTTAACAGATTGTTGATGTCAAACAGCTGGAAACCCAGGTTTTAACATTACACTTTACAGCAAGAACAAAAATCCCTTCACTTGCTGCTAAAACACCAAAACTTTCCAGCCTGGATATGAAAACGAACATCCAAAATACAGAGAGACACAGCATTGATCAAGTACCCAGTCAAAGACCACTTCTCTGTTGTTAGAGCTAATGGTTACTCTAAGCTTGAAGTTTCCTCCCTCATTGCTGGAAGGCCCTAACTGCACAACTTCCATGTCAAACGTCACAGTCGATCCAGAAGTAACAGCAGGCAGTTGGTTTGTCATCTCTTTTCCATTTACAAATACTGCCCCTGAAACAGTCAAGATATCAAACGTTATTTCTCACTTTCTGTACATACTAACATGCAATACTATGTCTCCCTATATTTTTGCAGGCAAACAGAAACGGAGAGCAACCCTGCCACGTTCCTTTTTGTCACATCAAACAGGCTGCAATAACTGCAAGGAGGAAAAGGAGGTCTGTGATCTCACCAAAGGTTTTAACTGCACAAGCGGTACGTACATAAAAGGTGGATGAAGTTGCTCATACGTGATCCAGGGATATAAAGAACCAGGGGCTATGGGTTTGGGGAATGAAGGGAAAAAAAAAATACGACATTCTCACATTCTTCAGTTACATGATTCAGACTCACCGTTTGTGCTGATGCACACAGCTTTATCCCGCTGCAAAGAATCGTAGCCGTTCTGCTGCTCCACACACACTCCTAGGCTGTCTCGTCTGTCTGGCTGTCCCACAGTTTCAATTCTACCAAGCAAAAAGTTAAGTAAGTCAAACCCTGAAGCTTTAAACCAAAACATACAATGAAATCCAGACAGCAATACCCTGCCACACCAGACCTCTGTACTGTGCTCGAGGGCTTTCAACAAATTCATCCAACCTTTTGGGGAGATGGCTGTTGAATGACCAGAAGTCCTACCACCTTTCCCAACAACTCCACTAACCAATGCTCTAACTATTAATCTGTACAAAAATAAATCTGCTTCCTGCAAACTTTCATTGCTATTTAATAAAATTCTCTACTGTCACAGCTCAGAGTCTTTTGAAATTATTTCCAGTTGTCTGAAACAACTAATAGGCACAAAACTACAATCCACAATTATCTATACCAGATTACTGGTCAACATCCTGTATTATGGTAAGACAGCTGTAGTTTCAGCAAGTATTTAATAAGCATGACTAAAGCGGGGTTTTTTTGAGCCCCGCTATATTCTGCTGTAAAGGGGGTGTGTGTGGAAGGCTGATGTGTTTTGGTGGTGGTGGGCTGTTGGATTTGGGGGCGCGTGTGGGTTTTTTGTTCGGTTTGGCTTTTTTAATAAATCAGCTTGGTGCAAACGGGTATTAAAAACAGTGCCTAGAAGAGCATTTACAAGTCTGGCTTCAGCTCGGTTGCATTTAGGATTTTGGTCCTGGGAAAGAATCTCCGAAGAAAAAGCAAACAAGTTGTGCAAATGACCTGGGATGCAGTTCCCTTTGGGCCCTAGCAGCTGAGCGAGGCTGCACAGTTTGTACACTGAAGGGCTCTTCTGTATTCAAGTCCTTTCTCTTGTACTGCCATCTCTCAAAGGTGCTAAATCATACTTCAGAGAGAGACCGAGTGGCTCAGGAAACTCAGATGGTCTTTTCTAGAAAAGCACAAGAGCGGTTATTTTCATTACAGCTTGCAGCACTGATACTTGGTTGTTGCCAAACAACAGAAAAACTTCAGCAGAAGCTTTTAAGAACTGGAAATTAAACTGGGCAGTAGACTGGCATGCAATGGGTTAACTCTTGCAAGACAAATAGGGAGGATAAAATTGGAACCATGTTTTACTTTTGCACTCCATGAGGTTTCTCAGTCCCCTGGGAACATCACTAAGATAGCAAAAGTCTTGTACTGTAAAGCAAAGCAAAAAACCCCCTAAAAATTTAATTACCCAAGCAGCTTTTAATTTGGAAGTGACCCACAATGTTTTCCCAAAACAACTTTAAGTGAGATTTCAAAGTCATATTGGTATTCTACTTTAGATTTTAAACTCTGCCTGAGTTACTGGTGAAGCTTTATAAACCGCTATTTATCTGTCAACTTGAGAGGTAAAGCCTTTGTGCTGAGGTAACATTAATTTATTCCATCCCTAGTTAAGGGAGCCTTTCTTGAGTTTTGCGTTGGAGATAAGTGTTTGTACAGTCACAAGAATGACCAAAAATGCGTAATTATAAACCCATTAAGAAGTAGGAATTCTATCGTGTCAATCTGTATCCATACTTACTTGCTCATTTATAGACATTTTTCTGCAGAGCACTGTCAAGGTAACCTGGACCAGCAACAGTAGGAAGAAAGAAACCATCAAACAAGTAACAGGACAGCGAATGCTCTGGGGGAGGAGCGATGGTACACCCCGAGTGGGAGCGTTTACACAGGAGTCAGTCTAGGACCAGCTGAACGTTTCAGGTTCAGTGCTCTCAGTGGCATCTACACTGAATCCAGGCATCATGCACTTCTGTATTCATCACACCCAGGCTCTCCAGCACCAGGGCTACCCTCCCTACACCACTGCCCTTACTCCAAGAGAGCGGGCTGGGCTGCACACTAACGCAAAGTAGGAAAGAGCCAAACCTTCCTTACACCATAACGAGGAAGCACAACCCGAGTGCCCAAGACAACGGCCAACCTATAATTCTGCAGTGGCTTTCCTCCTCTTGCACGCACAGGGAAGAGGACCAGGATCTGGTGTAGATCACCGTTCCTTTCCTTACTAGGTTTTGATTTTTCAGCAATTAATAACCAGCCCAAGACAAAGAGCCCAAGTACAGTACAGAGCATCACTGCACAGACGCCTAAGCTTCGCTCTACTAGGCTGATTCTTCCTATCACATTAACAAAGTTATTCTCCAGCCTCTACGATCCCTGGGACTTAAAATTTTAAAAAGCCCACAGACTACATGGTAGGAACAATGCCCAGTGGGACACTGTTCGAATCCCTTCTCACCACTTCCAATGCTGCAGAGCAAAACCTCGCCTTTGTCACTGCAGCATATAGACACTGAACCAGTTCAGCCACCACCAGTCTCCATTTGCCTCAGAGCCCAGAGAAGTAAATCTGTGGGTGATCACATGCGCTTCTTTTGTAATAGCTGCCAGTAGAGTTGTGGTGGGTTCCTGACAAAGTCAGCATCATCTTCATAGGGCGTCTGCTGGATGATTCCAAATCGCCAGCCTGGCCAGCCTGACTGTGGCTCCCCACTGCAAGCAAGTGCTTTAGAGACAGCCGCAGAGCAGGTCACTGTGGAGAAATGTTCCCTTTCCTAAGGGCTGCTCCCTGAACGCTGCAAAGGAACAGGAGGAATCTTGACTTAAAGCAATGATGTTTTCCTACAACTCGTCCGCAAGCCTCACCTCAGAGGATAACTAAAGCAGACTATCTTCAAAAAGCAGATACAAAGCATTGCGTTTATCACAGCTTCACTTTTCACTGATGAGGTATGCCTGCATCCTGAATGCAGAAGTAACATGAACCTTGCTTATTTGGTTTGCTCTGCAAGCTACTTATCCCCTTGTGAATACACTTTTGTTTCAAGAGATGGAGAAGCGCCAAGTACTACATCTCCCTGCTCAGGAAAATCTCACACACTTTCAAACAAGAAGCTGCTCTTGGACCTTGGAAGAGGAACACAACCGATTTTTGAGGTTGTCTTCAATCTTAAGATTCATTTCATTACAGTTCTTGTGGACATGTGCTTGTTAGTGCTCTGCCATCCTGAAACAATCTCCTCTTGGAGAGGAGTCCACATTACCAAAACGTAAAGCAAAAGATTTTCATGTGTTACCAATAAAAAAAGATAAAAGGCATTGGTCTGAAAGAGAACCAAGCAAAACCTCAAAGTTCTGCCTTTAATTTCACAGGCTTTTCTGAGCCAAGAGATGTTAAATCTAGCAACAGATTTCAAATGAAAGCTTTAGATCTTTTTATCCCATCTCAGACAGGGCAACTGAATACATCCCCATCCTACAGCCATCTAAAGATAATTCATTATCAGGAAGGGAGAAATGAAACACCATGGAATAAGTTACAAAAATATCATGAACAACTCCCTTAAATTGCCTTTGGGGGTTGCCTACTGTACAGCAAGTAGTTTTATTTAACCAGGGAAAGATGGACTAAAGCTTCAGAGTCTCTGAGGTCTGTAATTACAACTGACATATCCACAAGGACATTCCTCATAGCCCATTAAACAGCATCATGTCAGGGATAGGACTACAGGCAGCAAAGCTGCCAAGGTTTTTAATCGCATTCTGTGTCAAATGAAAAGTTTGAATTTCACAAGATCCCTTCTCCACTCAAGAGTTTCTAATGCCAGTTTCAAGCAGTAGTCTGATCACCACTAATTATCTCAGATGGTAAAGACATCAGTGCCAGACTGCCATCCTTACCTGTCCCAGCAGCACATATAACATTTTCATGTCCAAAGTCATCAAAGCATGTGCATAGTTTGGAAAGGAAAAAACCCACTGACCCAAGGTTAAAAAGAATCAGTGGCGAGCCTCCACCGACTTCTGACCAGCCAGTAACAACTGCTACAAAACTCGAGGAAGTTCAACACTCCACAGATTTGCTCAGCACGGGCTGTATTTTAGCATCCCTCAGGAGTTCGCTCGTCTCTGTCTTGGATAGATGCAGGTCCTACAAAACCATCAAGTGTTTTCCTAAAGAGCCAGGAAGTAGAAGTAAAGAGAAGGAAGTTCTGACTTCACACAGACGTGCTACCTGGACTGGGGCTGAGCTGATGTAAAACTCAAACATGCATCATGACTCAGGTTTACATACAATTCAAATGTAACGGACTAGAGGAGGAAGCTTGGTTCACAGAAGATGCACCAGACAACAGCTACCCAGAAAGTACTTGCCTGAATGTTAATGTCTGCCCACAGAAATAAGTAGGAGCTTTGGAGTAGAGCACACCGCATGACTGAGAATCATTTCGAAGTGCTATGTTTCTTCGACTGCTCAAGCTGTAACCCTCCAAACCAGTTGTCCACTCTTCAAAGAAAAAAAAACAAAAACAAAAACGCAGCGTGAACCTCAACTAGACCAGCTACTGTCTGTGCAAAATAAAGTCAGTCGCAACGTCCACTCAGTTTACCTCATATGAAGCTTAAGCTACGTTAAGAACAGGGGCTGGTTTTGCCGCCTTCTGACGGAGAGATTTCTTTTTCCAAGTCATTTGCAATTACAAAAAAGTATTTCCCAGCTCACAGGGTTCACCAGAATTTCACTCTTTGCTGCGATCCCTGTGAAGTCATACTGTAGGCAAAGGAAAACCTTCATGACCCACTGCCCTTAAAAACTTGCAAGCGAAGAGAAAATTTAGGTTTTTCTCTCTCCAAGGTAAGAGCTCATTATGGGACTGCAGGTCATCAAACAATGCTTAGGTACGGGTGAGGGACAAGGAAAAAAAAAATGCTTCACTTGTGGCTCATTGAGGCTTTCCAAGGCTAAGCAGTGAGCTACCTGCTGGAAAGGCTCACTAACTATCACTCACACTATGAAGCAAAGAATAAATTGTAGGACGAAAGGATAGTTCATCATACATTACACACATACATCACACGTGTGTATGGGGGTCGGATGCCAGACACCCCATCGTCGTACAAAGAGCAGCCCCGTAAGTCATTCAGCTATAGACCTTCAGGAGCGCTGCACTGATGACACGGGCTTAAGAGGAAGATGAACAGCATCGAAACAGTACCATGGGGAACTAGCGTGGTACGGCCGATCTGAGGAACACTCCACGGACTCCACTCTTGCCGTCCATCTCCTCGGGCGCAGACTCTGAACTGGTAATCAACATTAGGATCAATATGCAGCACTATGAACTCCGTCTCCAAGCCGACATACACATCTTCAAAGTGACTGGCAGTACTCTTACGATATTGCAGTCTGTAATCTTGCGGTATGAAGTCATCATCCACCTAGAGAAATATTTCTTACATTAATAAAGGACCCCCTCTTTTTTTCCGTTCTCCTCTGAAGCGGCACATACTAGGGTAGTACTGTAGTAAGTCAAAGGCGATCCCGAGTCACAAGGTATTAAAGAGCAGAAAGCATGCCTTATAGAAAAGAAAATCAGTGTCTGAGCCAACTAATACAAAAACCAGCATAATAATGATTTGCTCACAGTTTAAAAGTATCTATAGGAGAAGAAACATTTAACAGAAGGTTTTTCAATCTAGCAGAGATATAACAAGATCCTTCAGCCAAAAGCTGAAGACAAATTTGCAGAAGAAATTCAGCACCATTTTTTAACAGCAAGGGAAACTCACTGTTATCCTTCATAAACTGTTTCAGGGAATGATTTCCAATTCTTTGATATCTCTAAGTCAAAAGATTTTTTTTTTATTTTTTTCCCCCACAAAAGCTCCACTATCCCCCAAGCATGACCAAATTCAGGGAACTCCTCTATCGCACAGAAAATGAGACCACACGTGACAACAGTGCCTATGGTTTTACAGTCTGAGTCCACATCCTTCAGAAGACAAGGGTGGCTGACCAACGGCTGGCTGTTGCTAGAACAAGAAGTTTGTTCAATGCTGCCAAGGAGCGTAGAGCTGTCCAACAACTACTAAACCACATCAGAGCACAGCAGTGATTTACTCAAAAATAGTTTTTGTGTATTGAAGAGAAAGGCTACTTGACTAGCTAATGCCAATATTAAAATATTTTCTCTTTCTATCCACTGCATCTCCCTAAGAACACAAACATGTTCAGGTGTAAAAGCATAACAGAACAGGTTCAGCCTCATCCCGGGTCTGCTAAAGCATCTTCAAAGGGAACAAAAGCATCACCCCAGCACTGAAGTCCAGTCTCATGGAGAGTGTTTAGCTGCTGTTGCCACACAAATTAACTACTCGGTTCCACAGCACGGATGGCTACGTGCAAATCACCTCTGTCAGAAACACACACACCAGGATTTCTTGGTCCTGTTTGTACAACAGCATCACAGATAGATTACTCGCTACTATTTATTTGTTTAGTGGGAAGAGTATATGAAGGAGGCGTTTCCTGCTTGTCCAGTACCCGGCACTTGCTTAAGCATGGGAAGGAGGGGTAGCAGTGTTTTCAGCTGCCCCTCCTGACTTTTCCACACACAGGGAAGGAGACTGTGAGGCAGAGGTGCATTAGTGTGCTGGCCCTTTCTACCTGCAGACGGGAGCACGTAGAGTCCAACAGCAAGAGTCTAACACACAAGCGTCACTGCCAGCGCCAACCACAACACCACTAGATTACCTTGCCTTCAAATGAGGCCATTACCATAAAAATCTCTTTTAAAGTTTCTAACTACACACTGGAGTGGACTATTCCTTTGAAGGCAGTAGAGAATCCAGAATGAAAGTGGCTTTTTCAGTTTCTTTCAACAAAACTGAAGTCTGAACGATTTTCACCCAGGATATTTTACCTACCTTACACCATCGGACTAAAATACCTCCAGGCTTCTCAACGAATTCCTCTAGCTGTACAGGTGGGCAAGATGCCACAGTTCCATGTCTGAATATTTGATTTTTCAATATAGTAAGAAGGCAGTCATCCAGCTGGGCAGATAAACAAGGCACGTCAACCAAGGAGGGCACTTCTGGTAAGCTGAGAAAGGAAAGTTTGCTGTAATGAAAGGGGCCAGCTTCTACAAACTCGTATTTTGTCCATACACTTGAATCTGTGCAGATTTGCAAAGAGAGAACAGCTGCAGAAATTGGCATGTGCATTTCAAACTTAAGAGACTCAGAAAACATTGTGTTTCAGCCCTAACCAGACTGTCTGTTTCTCAGTAAATACTCTGAAATACAGGTTGTTGCACAAGGAGCGGTTTTATCATTCACAAATAAACAGCCTATATTTCTGCAGAACATATGGAGGTTGAAAACTACTCCATTCTGTGACTGCCAGCCCCAATGAAAGTCTATGAAACAAACAGGACAGCAACACCTCAAATTAATCTTTCAAGGCAATGGAGCGGAAGGCTTTTGCTTCAAAGGAGAAAAGATCCCCTGTACCATGTACCGCTGCCTCAGATCACCTCAGCGTGTCAGTATCTTACCTATCTAGCTGAATATGTAAAGCTTTTTTTGTAAAGCTGCACAGTTTCTCATTCTGTTGTCCCACATCTCCATGGACTGCACTCTCTCCTGGAATCAAATGGTAAAAATATTCCTAATGAGAAGACGTCCAAGAAAGGCATTCTTTGCTTCAAAGAATAACCAGTTCTGACACGAACAACCAATTAAACATGAAGCATTCTCAGCACTTTTGCTAGACTCTTAGCTAGAAAGTACAATTATAGTTAACAATATAAACCTATCTAGCAACTTCTGAAGCTCTCAAAGCTTCCTGCAGACACCCCCATAACAAACGTAATAATTTGCCTCAAGTCTCAGACAGTAGCAGAACTGGGGTCGGATGCCAGAAATCAGGATTATTAATCACTTTCTCCACCTGCTTTAAAGGAAGAAAAAAAGCAAAGCACCTTCACTGAGCAGAAAATAAAAAAGCAGGAGCTTAAAAGCAAAAAATAATTTCAACCATTGTTCTGCTTGCTACAGTCTAAATGGTAACTACTGTCATAATGAATGAAATAATCCATGCATTAAAGTGTGGAGATAATAGAAATCTTTTCATAAACTTTCCATATAAAGTAGCATCCCACACTTCAGCTTACAGAGATGTATGCTCCATTCTCCTATCTGATGACTTTATGGTAATTTACAACATTAAGCAAGCTCGGTCCTTTTCCAAATGGAGGATTACAAACGTTACAAATCTCTAAAGAAAAGCATACGTCATAATTGGCAACAGGAGATTTAATAACCGTGGAGGCTTAACTCCTTTCTGACTCAGATGCAACGTCTGCTCATTTTGACGACATGACTTAGCAATGCTTCTACTACTACAGAGGGAACGGTGACCCACAGGATAGGAAGCGCACAGCTAGTCAGGTTCTCCTGAGATCTGATAGAAACTTGTATAAAACACAGGCAAACTTTGCCACCGCCCTGTGATTCAGTACCTTGAGACTTAAAATAAAAACAAGGTGACTACCAGCTGTCCCTGAGGTTGTGGTGCTAGAAAAAAACCCCAACAAATTAATTCTTAAATATTGTCACCACTCCTGTGAACAGGAGGCACAGAGCTACCAAGCCAGCATGGTCTTTAAGCGCAAAGCTCACGTCCGAGTGGAAGCTGGTAGACTTCCTACCCGTGGGAGACTGCTCAATGCACTTTAGTTCAGAAAACTGAGATCACGCTGAAAGAAAGTTAAAGTTGAGACATGAGAACAATGCAAGGAAACTGCCAACATACTCATAGCTCAGACATGCTCCCAGTAGGTTCTCCAGTATGGGGAAAACAGTCAAGAGTGAAATTCCTTTCTGGCTAGGTATTTAGCATCAGTAGGGTACAAACTGGCCCTTACAATAATATTCCACGTCTATTTTTGTCTGCCTCATCCTCAGACTTTTTGGAGAAATTTTTCCCCTATACAGTGGCCATTCCATTCCTCATGTTCTCCATCACAGTGAACATAATCACACTTAACAGGAAAGATAATCTGTTTACTTCAGCTGCTATTCCATTAAGACACAAATAACTTTCTTCAACCAACAGCGACATTTTGTTATTATGGTACCCAAGATGTATTTTATTTCAAAGTAGCCTGACATAATCCTCTTTCTAGCGTGGAGGGGTACAGGACATCTCTGCAGTGAGACATTTCCAAAGGAGATACTTCCTGCCCTTATGGAGAGGCTACACTGACATATGTACACCCTAGGATTGGAGCGAAATATTAAAATACGGATTTGTAGGAGATAATATTGATCAGCTCTTCGCTACATCTACCCAACTTTAACCTCCTCTTAACATTCGGTTTGAGAGAAGTCCAAAATGAGCCAAGTATGCTGATCGTAACAGGAACATTCCAGACTTTGAGAGACACGCACTGGAAGGCAGAAGTAAGACTTAGTATCAGGCCCTGCCTTACCTTCCCGGAGCAGATCATCGGCTGTACTGACTCCATGCTCTATCAGCTTCTGGCATTCATCCAAAGGTTTGATGCTCTCTTGTTCTATAGCATCCACTTCCTGCAGCAGTGACATCAGTCGCTCATCCAACAGCTTCTTTAGAGTCCCTTTCAAATCATTAAAATGTTGCTCAAGTACATCTCTGGTCAACGTTGCACTTTCTCTGATCTAAATTCAGGTAACAGGAAAGAAGGATTCAGGATAAAGGCAAAGGCCGTGCACATCTTTTAATTTTCTGAACCACCTCGTCCGCATCTGCTGGTGAAAAGCTGCGTGTGAAGTCAGCTTTAAAAAAAGGTAACTGCCAGGTAACAAACTAGTGTAGTCATTTTTAGTACACATACAGCAGGGAAAGAGGCAAAGAAACTAGTCTGGACAAGGGGAAGAGTGTATTAACTAAGCAAAATACAAATTGGGTTACGTGTACTTCAGTCAAGGAATTCTCCTTGTCAGAAAAGTCTGAATGCTCTGTAGGTCTTCTCCCCGCCACCCCCCAAAATCGCTGTAATCCTGTTCAAAAACCATTCTGCCATCATATACAGGGAATCCTCACTGGAAAGAAAGAGAGATCAGGCTTTTAGAAGACTATCTAGAAGCACTTTTTCAGGTCCCACCACTTCAATGGATTTTTAAAACCCTTGTAAAGCTGCTTTCTTTTAAATTTTTTTTTTCTTTCAAATAGCCACCTTTGATTTATCTGTGCTCCAGGTTACCGGGCAGCATGAACAGTGGGTCTGTTTTGATTCTGGAAGAACTAGACCACAGAAGGTTCTACAAGTGCTTATTAAAATGTTTGCGAACTTGCTGAATCTGACTTTTAGGGAAGAAAATGCATTTGAACACCCCTGAGCTAAAGATGCAAAAGTCAGAAGTAAACATCTCCCTATGAACAACTTTTCTAAGTCACACACACAAGGAAATGCTGCAACATGCAGACGGCCTTACACGTAATTTCTAGATCTTTAGAAGTACAGACAACCAACACAGGAAGTTCTCTGGTTAGGTAAAATAAATTTCCTCTTCAAGTAATATTCATGAAGCTCTGCAGCTGCCACACAGCTCGGTTTCCCTTCTCTTGTTATTTCAACGCTTGAGAAAAAAAGGAAGTATTTAGCTTTGTGAAGGGGTGGGGCGGAGGAAGACAGAATAGTCACTTCTCTAAGCCCACTACCTCCATTACATGCAGATACAAATTCAACAAGTCAGCCTCAGAATTACAGATACTACTACTAACTACGCAGAAGAGGAAACGCAGGTCCCTGAACACAGAGAGCTGCATGAAGTTTGTTGAAAATCGTGTCCCATTGATCCAAAAGAAAAGGATGCGACGGAAGTGATCTAAAGCGCTTTTCCTATCACATCAGCCCACCAGTCCCCAAATAACAAAGCTTCCGCTACCTGAACCCCAGTCTAAGACATTCAGCACTTCTGGACACAGGGAATTCTTGGATGTGTGTTGCATGGCTGATTCTTTGTGGACAAAATAGTGTGTGGTCCTGAAGACAGAAAGAGAGAAAACAGAAACATGCACACAAGCAAAGAAATTCCCCCAGAGGGGAAAAGGAAAGAACAGCAAGCTAACTAAGCACTCACGGCCACTGCGGAAAGGCAAACTGGCTCCCTCTCAACGCATTTTGAGTTATCAGGCAACACTCTGAGATGACAAGGTTGGGATTAAAGACGGTCACAAACAATTCATTTTCTTAAGTAGCTTGCGGTTCTGAAGATGACTAATTTAATGTATAGTGATCGCCCACATTCACTCCATAGCAGGACACTAACCTAGCAGATTTATAGCAGATTTCTATGCTAATGGAATCTGCTTCAGAAAAATTATCAGGTCACCCCAGAAACATTTTCTGAGTTTGTTTTTGTGGTTGTTTTTTTTTTTATTTACCCGTTGCAGAGTTGAACCAAAGATAGTAAGCCATTAGTTCTCATCTGCAAAAACTAAAATGCTTAGAGGATGCCTTAGCACAGAAGCCAGTCCTTCACTGGCTCTCTGCAATCTCCCTACCCACACATTTGTGTATCTTATCGTACATCTTCAGCGCAGAGTGGGTGGGTTACTAGTCCCAGCGAAAACTCTCCTCTGGCTCCAGTGCACAGCTGCAGAAAAACCAGCTAACCTGGAATGCTGGCAACACTTATATGTGACCCACAGAGTACGTGACCCATGGAGTTTGGTGCATGGGGACAGCGGAGTTCAGGACAGCAACCAAACTAGAGCCTAACTCGCCTAGGCCGGTATCTTTTAGACGTGAGAGGAAGAAGACAGGCATGACGCTCCCTATAAAATAAGACTTAGCATCCAAACTACTTTAGAAAACGTAGTTCCTTTAGACATCTTTATTCTGGCCTAGGAAACCTCCCTACCACCGCAGAAAATCAGGCTCAGTTCAGTAACAGATTTCAACTCGCACCCCTTTCTTCCCGGTACTTTCTGCATCTGTCCCCTCCCTCCAGCTCCGGCGCCTACAGAGCCAACACGCAGGTTTCCCTGCGGCGTGCACGGCCTCAGCGGGGCCACCGCAGCCACCACCCGCTCCAGGTCCGGCGGGATTCCCTCCGCGTCCCCATCCGAGCTCTAACAGCTCGCCCCGCGCACCCCGCGGACGGGGTTTATGCAGAAAGCCACGGCTCCGGGGGAGCAGCGCAGGACCGAGCACTACTGCTGCCCCGGAGGAGGCTCGCTGCTGACTGCCACCCCCCGCCCCCCCGCCGGG